CTTGTGACCAGGAATTAGGAATTGGCATGCCCTCCCCCCCATCCCCCCCGCCGTGCCCCTTAAAGAAGTCAGTGGAAACGAGGAGGAAAAAACAAAACAAAACCAAATCGGAAAACAAAACAGTTCTACCTTTACTTGTAGCAAGTTCCCTCTCAGAAGTAAATGTGGCTGGAAAAAAATCAACAGACCAGGTGGACAGAAGAATTTTGGTTAATGTTAAGGAATATTTGGGATTTCTGGGGGGGAAGCAAAGCAGTATTGGGTGGCAGGTACTATTCCTGCTTTAGTGGAGTGATGGCTTCTGCAGTTTGGCTGGGGGGTCCAGACTGGCCTGGATTCTCCCTTGTGGATGTCTTGGGTCTACAGGAAGGAGCTCTGGAGTTGGAGGCTTTCCTCTAGCCCTCCCTCAGCTGCCACGCAGGCCCCCTGGTGTCTCCTCCATGTTTCCCATGGACGAGCAGAGGGAACAAATGCCCCAAGAGAAACCTAAGAGAAGTTGACTCTTTTCTTGTTTTAAATGTTTTTATTTTTGAGACAGCGTGAGCTGGGGAGGGGCACAGAGAGAGGGAGACAGGAATTGAAGCGGGCTCCACACTGACAGTACAGAGCCTGACGCGGGGCTAGAACTCCGGAGTGATGAGATCATGACCTGAGCTGAAGTCAGACGCATAGCTGACTGAGCCACCCAGGCGCCCCTCTTTTCTTTTTTTTTTAATTTTTATTTTTGAGAGAGAGACAGACAGACAGACAGAGCACCAGTGGGGGAGGGGCTGGGAGAGAGGGAGACACAGAATCCGAAGCAGGCTCCAGGCTCCGAGCTGTCAGCACAGAGCCTGACTCAGGGCTCGAACTCACGAACCCGTGAGATCATGACCCGAGCTGAAGTTGGACGCTGAACCGACTGAGCCACCCAGGCACCCCGTCGGTAACTTCTAAGAAAAGGATGAGAATCAGCATTCAGATCTACTTTCAACCTCTCTTTACTGTCATACTTTTAGTTCAAGTAGCCACGGACAAACATGTTTTAGAAAAGGACATTTTTCTACTGGTGCGTGTAAGGCTAGGTGAGAAACTGTGGGTGTAACTGATTTTTATCTTGCTAATGCTTGGACTCTCCAAGAAGTGTTCCAGGCTCGTTTTTTTCTAGATAGTGAAACCTAAGTTAGCAGGAGGCTGTGTGTCTCTGCCTCTCCTTGTGTATTCTATTTTGTGGCCTGTGTCAGAGACCAAGCTAGAACTTCCCTCGGTACAAATTACGTTTGTTGGAGTTAAATACTGGGTTTAGTTGAGAAACCTGGACTCTGCCCTGTTGCAATGATCAAATAGAAAGACTTCTTAAGCTTCAGAACATTCCAGAAACATGTAAGCCTGGCCTTTAGCTCAGAGGTGGAGTGTCAGGCTCTTGTTCCGAAGTGAACGGTCAAAGGGAGGGTCACAAAATCTCCCACAGAGCAACGCAGCTCTTGTTAACGTGCCACAGTGTTGCAGACAGATTTCGGGAACAAATGGAAGTATTTGCTGCCCGTGCTGTGCATCGTGGAAACGTTTTTCTCGGTGTTCAGTCCAGAGTGAAGTGGAGTAGAAATCAAAACTCAAAAGAATCTGTATTTGCGCTCCTCACTGACGAGGGAGAAAGTTGAACAGATGTAGTTAAGCAAACAGAAAATGTTTTGTGCTCTTAACAATTGGGATTTCTTAAGAGTTATTCAAAACAAAATCTTCAAAATGGAGAACTGTGGAGACAAAGCCTTTTCAGTCAAGTGAAAGTAGAAAATGAGACAGTCCAGCTACTTGAGGAGAATCTAGATGATTCTTATTTTGTTCGAAAGTAGCAGGCAGTAGATCAAAAGCCATCGTGGCATTTTGTTGTGAATCAGTGAAAAAAAATTTTTTTTTCAACGTTTATTTATTTTTGGGACAGAGAGAGACAGAGCATGAACGGGGAGGAAGGGGCAGAGAGGAGGGACACAGAATCTGAAACAGGCTCCAGGCTCCAGCCCATCAGCCCAGAGCCTGACACTTGCCCGGGGAACTCGAACTCACCTGGACACAGATCGTGACCTGGGAGCTGAAGTCGGATGTTAACCGACCATGAGCACTGCTCCCCAAAAAAAATTTTTTAATTAAAATTCTGTTGTTGGTTTTTTTTAAGATTTTATTTTATTTTATTTATTTTTTTTAATTTTTTTTTTCAACGTTTATTTATTTTTGGGACAGAGAGGGAGGAGCAACGGGAGAGCTGGAGGGGGGCAGAGAGAGAGGGAGACACAGAATCGGAAACAGGCTCAGGCTCTGGGCCATCAGCCCAGAGCCCACGGCAGGGGCTCTGAACTCACTGACGCAAGATGACGTGACCTGGCTGAAGTCGGAGGGCTTAACCTAGCCACCCAAAACAGCACCTAGTTTTATTTTTAAGTGATCTCTACACCCAACGTGGAGCTTGAACCCACAACCCCAAGATCAGGAGTCACACACTCCTCCAACTGAGCCAGCCAGGTGGCTCCAGTGAAAACCTTTTTTAAAAACAATGGCTTGTGACATTTTCCATGTGTAAAGGGTTCTGTTGTTTGTTTGGTGTGTGTGTGGTTTTCTGTACGGGGCACAGTGCAGAAGTTGCTGGGAGGAGAGTGCACCGGGAGCACTGGGTGCTGTGCTCCTGCCCTTTCCTCCTGTCCCAGGTGTCCCTGGGAGCGCTGTCCGTCTTGTTCCTGGCAGGGCATGTCCTTTCACGCTCCCTGACTAAGGCAGGCACTTGGAAGGTGGGCCTTGCGTGGCAGCTCGCTCCCCACCCCCCGCCCCCCAAGGACTTTGATCAGCATAAAAATCCAGTCCTAGAAAGTGGTGCTCTTTGTGTGGCCTTCCAGGCCTGCCAGAAAGATATTTTTTCTTAAAACCCTGCCAAGCTCACTGTGGTGTTAAACACCTTTATTTCTTTTCTTTTAGTCTCTTTATTAAAGCTCACAAATTGGAAGGTTTCCTGTGATTCTTTTAGATCACTCTACTTTTTGTGTACGGATTCTGGAACACGGTGAGATCTTTTTTAAAGAACCTGGCTGGCTGTTCATGGTTCATGGAGGAGTTTTTTCTTGCTGTTGTTTGTTGTTGTTTTTGTAAATCCGAAGAGAAAAATGTTAAGTGTTTCAGATATCTTCCTTGTGAATAGTGGTTAAAACCTGAAGTGTTTCTCTGAGTGAAATGGCAATGGAGTTTCTTCCCTTGTGGTGGTGAATCTCCTCTACCTCGGCTTCATCTTTTGAAATACTGGGTTGGGTGTTGCCAGGGGAAGGGTGAGGTTTGGCTCTAAGTTTCGGTGACCCAGATGCTGAGAGACTGCAGATGTTAGTTTCAGTGGTAGGTCGGGAGCTTACTCATCCATGTGGTGACCACCTTGTTTCATTTGTGACAGATAATCCGTGTCCAGTCCCCGGACGGGGTGAAGCGGATCACAGCCACGAAGAGAGAAACAGCCGCAGCGTTTCTGAAAAAGGTAGCTGTGGCCTGGGTGTGTCCTCCCTCCCCTGCTCTTTTGCTCCCTTCCCGTCTGTGCTGCCTCTTCCCTCCTCCTCTCCTGATTCTGCCCACTCCCTAGCTCAGCCTCTGGCACTGCTTTTCTCTGTCATGACGGATTGGACTGACCCGGCGTCAGATCGTGTCACAGCTGACCATTGCTTACACTCGTAGGACCAGGGGGCCGAAGATGAGTGGAAAAATAGTTCACGGGACTGGTGTTTACGAGAATGAAAAATTGGAGAGTGAAAGACTTCAGCTGTCCACCAAAGGAGAGTTGTTAAAAACACGTATAGAGTGATCCACTTTGTTCCTAGAGACTTAGAGCCACGTGCACAGATGTGTTGGGTGAGCACAGAATGTAATGGGAAAGAGCACAGCCAGATTTAAGAAGGGTCACCCAGGGAGGAGAGTGGCCCTTGCTTTATACCCCACGCCAGAGATTGGCAAACTATGGCTCATGGGCGGACTAATTTTTTTCCCCCTCGGCACGCTGATTGCATTTCCCTGACCTCCTATTTCTGTAAATAAAGTTGTATCAGAACCCAGCCACACTCACTGGTTTATGTATCGTCTGGCTACTCTTGAACTCCAACAAGGAGCTGAGTAGTTGTGACGGACACCATATGGCTTGCAAAAATATATACTTTCCTTTAGGGGAAAAAGTGTGCCCACCTTTATACATTCTGTGTTATTTGAATCTGTTGTGAGCAGATGTTACCTTTGTAATAATAAATATTGTTTTTCATTTTCATAAACAGAAAAGGTTTCGGGGTCATAGAGTGTTAGAGCCAGGGGAAATCTTAAGTGTCATGTAGTCTGATCTTTTCTTTTTTTCACAAAGGTGGAAACTGAAGGCCTGGGAAGTAAACAGATTTAGGAGGATCACTGGGCTGTCATCTGTTAGTGGGTCCACAACACTTATTTGGGAAATTTGGTTTCTTTCTTTTTAAATTTTTTTAACGTTTATTTATTTTTGAGAGAGACTGACAGAGCATGAGTGGGAGAGGGGTAGAGAGAGAGGGAAACAGAACCTGAAGCAGGCTCCAGGCTCTGAGCTGTCAGCACAGAGCCGGACGGGGGGCTCAAACTCATAAACTATGAGATAATGACCTGAGCGAAAGTCGGGCGCTTAACTGACTAAGCCACCCAGGCAGCCGTGGTTTCTTTCTTTCTTTCTTTCTTTTTTTAATGTTTTATTTTTTTTATTTTATTATTATTTTTTTTTAACGTTTATTTATTTTTGAGACAGAGAGAGAGCATGAATGGGGGAGGGTCAGAGAGAGGGAGACACAGAATCTGAAACAGGCTCCAGGCTCTGAGCTGTCAACACAGAGCCCGACGCAGGGCTTGAACCCACGGACTGCGAGATCATGACCTGAGCCAAAGTCAGCTGCTTAACCGACTGAGCTACCCAGGC